CTATAGTGTAATGTGTCCCACCTTTGACAGGCGTATAAAAGCTCATTAGGATGTTGTGCTGATGTGCGCTTGCTTTACCCTGCCTACCACGCCTCGCCCTCGGACCGTCTCCAAGGTCCCAGACAGGCTGAAGATCCTCCAGTGCCTCTCTCTCAGCTGAACCACCTCATTACCCAAGTTCTCCAGACGAATGCAGTAGCGCCACTGTCAGAGGAAGCACAAATGTTAACACTCCTTAATTTGAGTTGTGTTATTTCTGTTTGTGTCTGTTCTACTTACCCAGTAAACATGGGAGTTCTGGGCCTCCTGAGGAAAAAAAGCAAATAAGATTTAAGAAGACAAAAAAAGAACTAAAGTTAATCTATACAGGGAAAACTCAAGACCTGTTATGCAGATCCTGATATATTTACCATATTTTGTATGGCTCAGCTGTGCTGAGAAGATCATGTAATTACAGATCCACCTACCCTCATTCCCATATAGAAGGGGATAACCGTGACTCGAATGTTCTCCGTGGTCTCTCTGTGGACGTCCGACAGCTCCAGCCAGGGGTGGTTCTTCTCCTGCCACGCCTTCAGAGTGTCTCTGGCTGTGAACGGAGGAGCTACAGTGTCAAGAGAAAGAAGACAAACAGATTTACTGAAAACACAGCAGCCTTATTGTATTATAACTGCAATCCTTTACAAATTCAGTTTGCTACAATAAAAACAAAAAACCTAACCATATAAACTTTCTACTGAACCAGCTCGTACAGGAAGTACTGTAATTTCCGGACAAGTGAGCGCACCTGAATATAAGCTGCACCCACTATATTTAAAAAGAAAACATTTTTGTACATATATAGGCCTCACTTGTCTAGAAGCCATAGCTAGTTTTGGTAAACAATTTCTGAGGAGAGAATGGGGGAAACAAAGTTCCTCCCTCCTTCCCCAGTGGACCAATGAAACCAAGTTTCAGATGTGCAACTTTCATTGGTCCACTGTGACCTGTTCTGTAATTTCAGTGGTCTAATTAAAAAAAAATCTTTATTTATGCAGGTAGTCTCATTGAGTCACGAGGATCCAACCCCCAAGAGAGACCTGTTTTGGGCAGCTATGTGAGCGCCCAGGTGTGACAAGACTAAATGTTTTGGCGGCATGAAGCTCGTTAGCTCATCAAAATAAAATCCATAAATTAGGCGCAGCATTGTATAAGTTGTGGGGTTCAAAGTGTGTGAAAAAAGTAATGACTAGTCCAGAAATTATGGTAACCACTGTGGAGAAAATTCAGATGAAATGCAGAATTGCTCTGCACGATGTTTTCTGGCTGGAGACACTCCCAGCCCCACATTGTTCTCTTGTTTATTGTGTAAAAGCAGCAGAGAGCTCGTCCTGTTTCTTCAGTCCCCTCGTATTACAGTCTCCGTTGGTTATTCTTTACAACTTACTGAGGTTTTCAGTCATCTCTGTGCTTCTTGTCTGCTTGTTTGTTATTTTTCTTTTCTGTTCTGTATTTGTCTGCTGCATGTGTTGTATTTGGTTTGTGTGGAAAACCAGCAGCGACTGAAGAACGGTGTTTACATTTTGTAGGGTTGTACATGAGGAAGCGCTCGAACAGTTCGTGCTGGATCGGGACCTGCTCAGTGGAGTTATAGGGCAGGATGTCTTCATGACTCACGTAGTCCAAACCTGAAGGAAGAACAGGGCCACTGTCATACGAGTGAAAGACAACTACATAAAACACCACGTTTCATGTTCTAAACTGCTGACTGAGAAAACATTTAAAATGTTATTCAACAAGTGAAGTCTGACCATGTTTCTATTTTGCTGCGTACCTGGGATGGCGTACAGGGCCCTGCTGTCATCATGGTTGGCCAGAAACGTGACTGCTTCTGTCTGAGACCTCTGAGACTAAAAAGCAGAATTCAATCAAATGCCTGAAAAATAATAAACTAATAAACTTTAGATTTCACATCTGAAACAAGAACACTTCAGCTCAATGAAGTGCGAACACATTGTGTTAAAGATATCCCTTTCTATCCGTCTCCATTAAAAGCTGATCTAGTCTGGTTCTAGATTTCTTTGCTTTGTTTTTTGTTTTTTTTTAATGTCCAGAGGACCAGATTGAACTTTTTTGGACTTAGGACTAGACATTAATAGAAAACGTGTCATGTTCAACATTTCAAAGACTATCAGTCGTGGTAAACTCCACTTTTCCTCTCTCTCCTCCATCTCCTCTGTGATTATAACCAGGTGTGGCCATCAAGACCAGTGAGACTCTGTTGGATTGACCCAACGTATTTTCAGAACATGAACCAATGGCGCTTGAAAGATGGTGATTATGACTGATTACAATCCAAGCAGTTCTTTACTGACACTGCTCTCACTGATCCTGCAGTAACAATGATTTTGTTGTTGTCCTTTTTAACATGATCTGATGTAATTTTAACTGTTGTACAGTTTTTACAAAACACTTGAAAAGTATATTATTATTATTTTCTGTTGGCTGCTCCCTTCTTCAGGGGTCACCACAGCGGGCGAACTCGCACGAAGACTTGGCAATTGTTTTACGCCAGATGCCCTTCATGACGACAGACCAACGAGCGGAGAGCTGCCGTCTAAGGGGCCTGGGGGAGCAGTTGGGGGGTAGGAGTCTTGCTCAAGGGCCCAGAGAGTGGGGTATATGAGGGGGAGGCAGGTGTGGGTGCTTCATCTTTCCCACCCACATTTTTTTATGTCAGTCAGGGGAGTTGAACCGGCGATCTTCCTATCACAGGCCCACCTTCTCTAGCTACTGCACCACCACTCCCTCCTTGAAAGGTATATTATAAGTATAAAAAATAAAAACCAAACCTCTGAACTCGGCCAGTTGCTAAAATGTTCTGAATTTGATAAGAGAGTTCTGAAAACACGACTCACTATGTGTGGACAGTCTCTGGTGTCGATGAGGACCTGGTAGTAGGTGTGAGTCTTCCCCTTCACCTCCTTGGAGCCGTGGGCTCCGGGGGGCTCAGGTTTGCTGAGGGAGGTGACAACACAGGTTCACTTCAAACCACAACACAACAACGCTGAGCAGAGAGGCGCCTTGGGGCCCCGCAGGATGCCACAGTTTACCTGTCAGACACAGGCGGGGTGATGTCTCGATCGTAGAGGCGGGCATGCCAAGGAAACAAGACAATGCCTCTGTAGCCAAACACACTGTGGAGAAACAGCTGAGAGGAACAACACAGAGAAATCACTCAGATTAGAGATGACCAGTTTATCACAGCAGAGGTTAAATGGGATTACAGTCACTTGAGAAGATCATGCAAGTGTACTATAAAAACAATCCTGAATAACAGATTATTATAATGACAAACAGCAAACACATGACGATGGACAAATCTGCAATTAAAACTGAGACTGTTAACTCAGTCATAGCCAGCTCTCTGTGCTGCAGGTTAGTGGAGTCTTACCTGGCCTGTTTCATATTTGCCATGCTGCTTCACAGCCTCAAACACTCCAACAGTCTCCAAAATCTTCCCTTCAGGCCTGTTCCTGCCAAAAACAGGCAACACAATTACACACAGCACTATGTGGGTCAGCAGGACGTGCAAGACAAGAGTACTGGTTCCCACAGTGACAAAACAACCTGGACAACAAACCATGAGTCCCTGAGAGGAGTTCTCGTTCCCTCACAATCACAGAGGAGTTGTGAGGAAAGCAACTGTTCTGATCCACATGAGGCGCAATCTGCTGCGATCCTACAGACGTTCATCTCACATCGTACTGGGGTGGGGAGTTATAATGTTGACTGCTGGACATCTGAGCTCATTTCCAAATGTCAAAATTTAATTCTGTAAATATTCATCTATGGCGCCACATTGACAGTCAGTTGAGTCATCATAACGGCTTTAAAACATTTGATTTCAACATGCATTTCAGCAATAAAACAATGCTAGCTCAGCATTTTTATAATGTTTTAAATGTTACGTTAACATCTAGGCTAACTGCTGGTCAGCAGCCTGTGAGTAATAGAGATTTTATGCAGATTATTATGGACTCTTTATTAGTCATGAAATAAATTAGTGTTTAGTTCAAATAAGCCAGATTATTTCAGTTTACTGTATTTCTACCTCAGCAATTAAGAGGAACAGCTTACCAGCTGCCTCGAGTTTAGTCACACGCCAGATTATGGCAACTATCTGTGAAGCATCAGTAATTGTTTTTGCATCACAAGGCAGCGCTCTGAGTCGAGTCGAACCGTGAAGACTCCTACACCTGATCAATCCAGACAAACTCGGCTCCTCCAGAGACGAGTAAACTGAAACGGTGTTGGGTCTTTTCTTCATGCTGTTTCGAGTCTCGCAACAAAACTGACAGCATTCAAACACAGACCACAACAGCTGGTCACATCACGTGAATAACACTCATAGCTGCGCGCTCGGTGCAAAGCTAATCTTTAGAGATGAAGAGCGGGGATTAACGAGGGGGATAACAGCACAGGAAGGTTTGTTTTTTACAGTAAGTTGCTTTCTTATAGCAATCACAACACAACTTAACTACACTGACAGACTTTACAAAACAGTATTAAAGTCTGCCCCCACCCCCCCAATAAAACTGCTTTAAAGCAGTTTAAATTATTTCATATTAAAAATAGGAGTGAATCGGTTGCTTGGCCGCTGATCAAAGTCTGACTCTTTCCAGCTCAACCTGTGAGCAGCTGACTTATCTTTGTGTCAGTGAAGGCACAGAACATGTTAACTTTTTTTAATTGGTGCAGAAGATCAAAAATTGATTATGAATTGGAATAACAATAAGGTGATCAAAAATATGGTTGAAGGTTCTGCACAAAACATGAGGGACTAATAAAGATGGATTATCTAGAGGAGATGAGTTCAAATGACTGCTGACCACTAAGATTCAGTCCAGTCTTTAACGTGCAAGCTGCTGCTCACTTACTCAAGTGACCAATTTAACTCCAACATTTAACACTTGAAATACGGATGCACAATATTATCGGCATGGTATCGGCCATTCCATCAAAATAACTCGCCGATATAAAAGGCGCTGTTTTTGCCTGCAGCGGCAACACAACGCGATGATGTCACGTGCACCTACATGATCTCACGGCGGAGAGGAAAATTTTAAATGTTGACGGTGTGGAAGTTTTATTTTTCGTTGGTGAGGATGTCAGATTCTGAAGATTTATGGACTACGTGGAGCCTCGCTACATCGTCTGCAGTCTGAGATATTTTTCCGACGTAACGTTACCAGAGTTACAAGGAGTCATTTCTGATGTCATTGAGAAGCTAACAGCTGATAGCACGACTTGTTGGGTGAGTTTTACCACAGATATTTGGACGTCATGCTAGCCCCGTTAGCATGATTAGTCTTACGGAACAATGTATAGACAAAAACTTTGAACTTAAAAAGTCTGTCCTTCATGCACAGGAGTGCAGAGGATCCACACTGCAGCT